TCCATCCTACCCCTATCTCTAAACCACCCATTTTGCTTCTCCTGAGGCAAATTTTCTTATATAAATCTTCAAGAGATACCAAGATATAATGTAAGAATATTTGTATATATATAGTTGAGCCTTGAATTGCATGGGGGTTAAGGGTGCCAGTCTTCCACACAGTCAAAACTTTGTGTATAACTTACTGTTGGCCCTCTGTAGCTGTGGTTCTTTGTAACCATGGTTCATAGATTCAACCAACTGAGAATTGTGTTGTACTATAGTTTTAATATTGAAAAAAATCTGTTTGTAAATGGGTCTGCATAGTTCAAACCTGTGTTGTTCAAAGGTCAACTATACACTTAAAACACAAATGTAGCATTCCAGTTATACTCTGCTACTCTTTGCCTGTAATGCTTAACATTATCTTAGAGAACATTCCATATTAGTACATATAGAAAGTTACCTCATTATTTTTAAGATGTGCATAGTCCATAATATGGTAGTACCATGATTTATTTTACTTATTCTCTATTAATGGACATTTAGGTTGTCTCCATTCTTTTGGTATTATGGTGTTTTAGAGAGGATCCTTAATATATACATTAGCTAGTACATGTTGGCTAAATACCTAGCTAGGGAATTTTCAGGTCGAAAAGTATCTGTTTTGATTACATTGAAATGTACATAAAGAAAAGAATGTGAAATGAGTAATAATAAAATGAAAACCACCAATGTGCCTACCACCCAGATTAAGAACTGGATGTTATTAGTAGCTAGTTGTATGTCTTTCCCTGATAGCATCCTTTCAGCTTCCCCTTAACAGTATCTTGATTTTTTTTGGTTTTTTTTTTTTTTGGTGTTCTTTGTGGTTTTACCTCCAGTATACATATTCCTAAACAGTGTATTTAATTTTGTGAAAGAGATAAGCAAGCACAAACTTGATGGATTAGGTAAAAGGGGGAGAACATCCGCTATGAATAAAGGGTCACAGGAGAAAACAAGTTAAAGAGGTTATACTTTCACCTTTCTTTAAAACCTCATCTGAGGTTATCAGTGGAAGAATTCTCAAGTATAGGTCTTGGCACAGTGAAGACATATCTTAGTGCTATAATGTTGACAAGATGCTGAAATATCTAATAGAAATTACTGTCAAGAGTCTTTTCTGATCTCTTCATGATGTACTTTAGCTCTTAGGAGTAGATGAAAAGAGAATTTCTTCTCTGAGGTAATATGAGTGTCTTCTGCTGATTTAAGCAGAATCAGAGAGTAGAAACTTCACTAGCATATGGTAAAGAGAGTCCAGATACAGATATGAATCTGGGCCAGATTCCCTTGCCATTCTTTGCTTGGACAGAGAGGGTATTATGAAGGCAGTAGAGATTGTGGCCCTCAGTAATGGATTTTTCTAGTCACACTGATCCTATTGGTTGTCCTCCAGTTGTTGAATTGTGCTCAGCAGTTGAGTATGCTGTATCAGCCTCCTGATAATTCTGTCTGTCTGTCTCCTATGTTAAATATACTGTTTCTGATATTCCATGCCTTCTTTATTGCCCCCCCTAGTCCTTTTTTTTTTTGTGGCTGAAATACAATGTGATTGTCCAGTAGCTTCCTGAGAGAAGGTTGATATGGGGTAAAGATTTTGATTCTTTGAATGATCAAAAATATATTTCTTATGTTTTCATACTTTATGGTATGGTAATTTGGCTGGGTATAGAATTCTAGATGGGAAATAATTTTGTTTTAGAATTTTCGAGGTATTGCTGCATTGTTTTGTGATTCTGTTGTTGATATGTAGAATTCTGAAGCCATTTTGATTTCTGATATTTTAAAACCTAGTTTAGAGCTTAGTGGATCTTCTTACTCCTAATGTTCTGAGGTTTTATAATACTAGGTCTGAGTATGGCTCTGTTTTCAACAATTGTGATAAGTACTTTTGTATTTAGGTATTTAGTGGGCCCTTTTAGTTTGGCAGTTTTAAGTTTGGGGAAATTTTCTTGAATTACTGATTTTCTGTCTTCCATTTTATCATTTCTCTTTTTCTAGAAATTCTTTATCTACATGTTTTTTCTCTTGAATTGTTCCTAACTTACTTCTCTTTTTCTTTCCTATGTTTTGTTTCTTTGGGTCTTAACTTCTGGAGAGATGTTCTCAACGTTATTTTGCAACCTTTTTGAGTTTTTCATTTTTGCTGTCATGCTTTTTAATATCTAACATCTTTTGGTTGTTATTGGACTATTCTTATTTTCCTAGTTGAAATGTTTTTTGAAGATACTGGTATTTTTTCTTTTAATTGTTGACTTTTGTAATCTAGACTCTTGCTACCTGCACTTTAATTAGAATGGTTAGCTGTTTACCCAATTGTTTTCTATTAATCTCACCTTTTACCCTCTTTTACCTTACATTTGTCATTACAATACCATTCTAGCATTCTTCAGTTCTATATATAGATTAAAATTTCCATTTACTTTCTTTTTTTTTTTTTTCCTCTTCCTAATCAACTTCCTTTAAAAATGTTTATACTGCAGGTCTGGTGATGAATTTCCTCAAGCTTTTTATTTTGTCTGAAAAAAAATTTACTGCCTTCATTTTTGAAGGACATTTTCAATACATTCAGAATTCTAGGTTAAGAACTTTTTTCTTTCAAGACTTTATAAAAGTTTTCCCATTATCATTTGGCTTACAAAGTCTTCTGTCTTTCATGCTTTGTATACAGTATGTCTCAACATTGTTTGGTTTGAAAATATTTTTCTTTAATGTTGATTTTCAGAGGTTTGATTATTGATGTGCCTTGTTATATCTTTATGTTTATGCAGTTTGGGTTTAGTCCAGCTTCTTTGGTTTGTGTATTTATAACATTTATCAAATTTGGAAAAGGTTAGCAATTAAATAAAAGGTTATGAATTACATATTTTTTCAAAATTTTTTTCTTTTCCCTTATTCCTCACCATAGTTTCTGGGCCTCTAATTAAATGTATCTTAGACTGTCAGTGTGTTTCACATATCACTGAGGTGCTGTTCTTTTCCTTTTCTTCTTTATTTTTTTTCTCTTCTCCTTTTCTCTTTTTCTTTCCCTTCTCTTTCTCCCCCTTCCTTCCCTCTTCTCTTTCACTCCTTTGTGAAATGGTGATCTTTCTCCTGTGCTAAATCAGTATAAATTGGATTGTAAGTTATAAATTCATCTCTGGTTTGGGATTTATCTTTTTGAGGTCTTGCTAGTTACTGTAAGTTCATTTTGGTTTCCAGCTTGCAAACTTGGTTGATACTTTTTCCTTTTTTTCCTGTCAGATGTACGTAAAATTTAAAAAATTTAGTTTACTGGCATTTCAGAAGGTAAAAATCAGATGTGTGTTGTTTAATATACTACTATAACCTAAAGAATTTTTAAGATTTCTCATTTCTTTTTCTTTGAAATATGCAGTGCATTAAGATTTTATATTTTTAAAAGGATAGTAACTTTTCCCAGAGCTTTTACGGAATAAGCAATTTTTAGGTTAAAAAAGATCCTCTCAAAAGTAGTAGAAGATGACACAACATTGTAAAATGACTATAACTCAATAAAAAATATTAAAATAAAAAAGTAGTAGAAGATACAGAGCTGCTCAGTTAACTGTAAAAACCAACTTAGCCATTATAATTGAACATTAACATGTTAAGCACACAATGTGTAGGCCTATCTCACATATCAAATAGAGCCCAAAATAAACTACTAGCCATCTTGTTCTATTTTGGAACAGTTATGCATGCTTAGGGTATCTAACAAACTAGGAAGCAAATCAGCTCTATATTTTCTTAGTCCCTTGGATATTTTATTAAAACAAAGAATATTTTCTCTCACTGTTTACTGTAAGATCAGCAAGCATAGGTTGTATCAGATTATCTCAATAGCATAGAAAAGAAATTTAATAAAAATCTACCAAAATGTTGGAAGTTCAATATAGACTTTCTGTTCATCTAGTAGCCTATGTTTTTCTTAAGCACTGACTTTGTATTATATGAAATGATTTGGATAAAACACTATATCAGAAGAGGGAACTCAGTTATAATTTATGGGTAATATGATGAATAGAAAACTAAAGAAATCAAGTGCATTGTAGCAATTCAAAAATTAGTTGGGGTACTGTTAATATGAGGTCTTTGTTGCATATATGAGAATAAAACCCTTTGGGACATATAAATGAACAGCCGAATAAGTGGTTTTACCTAGCGTGTGTCTATACAAAATATTATAGAGGTGCCAAGTTAATTGCTTAATATATTTTACCTAGATCTGAATGGAATTTTTATTTAATTGGATGAAATTATTACAAATAATAAACCGTGTGAATTAACTGCAAAGGATCAGAAGTTCTGAGAGGAAAACCCAAAAGGATAATAGATGAATTTCAATACCAGCTATTATACGTTTAAAAACTATAATAATAATATCTCATGAAGAACTGTTAAATACAATACGTAACCAAGTAATAGTTTTATGACATGTTCAGTTTAGGGGCAGAAATAAAAACTGTTTCTCTCTAATATTCAGGGTGAATTTAAAGTATTTTTTGCACAAGTGTGCACGCTCACACACACAATGAAGTATAGGAAAATTCAGAAGAAATAGAATTGAATATTTATCAAACCATTGGGAGAGCCAACATTTCTAGGCTTAGAAATAACAAGAAGGGAAAGAATCTAATACAGCCACACAACAGCTAACAATTTTGCTACACAACAGTCATACTTAAGGAAAACTGCTGAAATGAACCTTATTGAAGACACTCATTTTCCTTCCTTGTGAATGAAATATTTTTTGATAGAGTTTCTTTTACTTGAGTGGAGGGAAAAGGTAACTTTAAAATGTTATGTGTCATTAGAGAAACCAGTAGTCCTGCTTCACTCATTCTTGAAAATAGCTGTTTTAGTGCCTATCCAATGGAATTTTCCTACATTGCTAATAAAATTGAATAATATTTGAGTTTAATTATTCATCAGATATTTCATTTCACTTAATTTTCCTCCAATTAGGCATTTCCTTTAAAAATTTTTCATTGATTAAATAATAATTAATTTGAATACCTATTCTAATGCTAGGAGTACTTCTGTGGTTGTAATAAAATCTGTCTTTGTGGAACTGGGATTTTTTTTTTTAATGGGAGAGAGACAGATACATATATATATATAATGTCAGGCGTTAATAAGTGCTTTAAAGAAAGATTAAGCAGAGTAAGAGATGAATAGTGAGATGCGGCTCTTTAGATTTAGTAGTTAGGAGGAAGTCCTTTTAAAACTCATATTTGATGAAAAACCTGAAGAAAGTGTAGAAGCGATCCAAGTGATTCTAGGGAGGAACATCTTAGACCTTGAAATGGGAACATGCTTGGTGTTTTCAAGAAAGAACATACATGGGTAGCTAAAGCATATTTAGGTAGGGATGATGGTGGGAAATGAAGTGGACGATGCAGGCAGCAAAGAGGACTTTATGCATTCTAGAAATAAACTTCCTCAATCTGTTGAGTTCATTGAATTTACCGTAATCTAGAATGTTGTAGCTCATCTTTTCATGCCTGAGCTTTGGGTTTTTTTCTGCCTATAATCAATTTTATTTTGTTTTGATGGGTAATTATCAAAAGAAAGAGAGTACTCAATCATTATAAATACTTTCTGGTTACTTGTAAACTAAGGTTTAGTTAATGAATCTGATTCTCCTGCATGTATTGCTGAGGTGAAATGCTGTAGGTTCCTAGAAAGCTCTGTAGTGTTTGTTACTTGTACAGTTTTTTTATATTACTAAGCAAGCGCGAATTGATTTAATAAAACTGCTGCTGAAAGAGGATTTTCTTGCAGCTTTTACTGTTGAAGACTGAT